TTTGATACTTTCCGAGGCTACAGGCATGCTATGAAGGTGATTCATAAGCGTAAAAAGGATAATCTTGTTAATCTCAATATTTTTAAAGGAGCTCTATTATAAAAAATTGATGTAGGAAAGATAGTTTTGTTTTCTTGGGCGGGACGATGCATAATATCATATATTGTTAAATTTATGATCAGTGTTGTGACACAGTTTGATAATCAATTGACAATGCTGCAAATCTATAAAATCTATAGATAATAAAGATAATAATAAGGGTTTTCCCCAAATGACATCATAATGCTGTATTTGTTATGTTCGAAATTGTCGCATTTGGAAAGCGACGGATAGACCCTTCTTCTTTAATGTTATATTGATGTGACAATTCGAAATTCTAATTTCACCATTTTTATTTAGATCATTTTCCTATCTTCCTTTATTCGATTTTTTTTTTTGAATTTCAAGTAATGTCGGTGAGCCCTATATAAATTTATATATTAATATTGACATACAAATCGTTCAATTTCTATTATTATTTTATACGACTATCAATCTAAAGAAATTCTGTTATTGCTAGAATTATGAAAATGACGAATATAGTCTTCAGACCGGTCCGCTTGGCAACGAATTAGGGTATTTATTTACAAATAGATATTAGTTCCTAATCATTTTTAACATTCCTAAACAATTATAAACGTTTGATAGAAATGAGTCACCAGATAATCACATTCAAGAACAACCACGTTTATTGATTATGGGTTTAAGGAGGTTAGTAAGAAATTACTTGAAAAAAATATTATATATATATATATATATATATATATAATATTATTATAATACGATTTACAGTTTACATATTATACATTAATATGTATCTCTAATTAGGAGCGGAAAATCTAGCATTCAGAAAGTAGTATTTCATAAAATGCCAGCAAACCAGACATTATTTCTTGAGAGCAATAACAATGTTATTAAAGAAACCATAACGTACGTGTAATTAAAAAGTATTTTATATAAGAATATATAAACAAGAGTATAAAAAAATAATACTTTATAATTAAATACTTAATATTAATAAAAATAGTCATTCATTTCATTATTAACATACTACTTGTGACGAACAAAAATACATTAAACAACAAAATAATTGATTAATTAGATCATTCATTGATTTTCAAGTTTGGGATTTTCCAGGACAAACAGACTATTTTGATTCGACATTTGATACAGATGTGATTTTTGGTGAATATGGTGCTTTAATTTTTGTGATTGATGCACAAGTAAGTTTTTGATCTTGCTCGTGACATGATTTAATTTTTTAAAAAAAGGAATTTTATATATATTTAATTAACATTTCTCTCTTCTCAACTAATTAACAAAGGATGATTACGTTGAAGCACTTAATCGACTTCATCAAACTATTACACGCGCATATAGTGTTAATCCATATCTTATATTTGAAGTGTTTATTCATAAAGTGGATGCACTGTCTGACGAATACAAAATCGATACTCAAAGAGATATTCAACAAAGAACAACTGATGACTTAGCAGATGTTGGATTAGAAAATGTTTCTATAAATTTCTACTTGACTAGTATTTATGATCATTCAATTTTTGAAGCATTTAGTAAAGTGATTCAAAAACTTATACCACAATTGCCAACGCTAGAAAATTTATTAAATATACTATGTTCAGTATGTGTCAATTATTATTATTATATTTAATTTTTATTAGCGATGATAATGAATGAACGTTCATTAATATTTAAAATTATTGGATTTAATTTGTTTGATTTATTTAGAATTCTGGTATAGAAAAGGCATTTTTATTTGACATTAAATCAAAGATTTATATTGCTACCGACAGTTCTCCTGTAGATATGCAATCTTATGAACTTTGTAGTGATATGATTGATGTCATTATCGATATTTCAGAACTTTATGAGTAAATATTATTAATATATTGAGAAATATTTAATCTTTAAATTATTTTTTTAATCAAATTAAAATTATTTTAGACAAACAGATCCTTCTAATAAACGTAAAAATAATAACATCGAAGAAGAATTATATGAAAGTAGCGATAATAAGTCAAGTATAAATGTTATTGATACAAATGATGACGGTGGTGGAGTTTCATTAGATACTACTAGTGCTACTTATGACACAACTGCCGAAACCACTGGTGGTGATACATCATCATTGATTAAATTGAATAACGGAACTGTATTATCTATTAAAGGCATTAATAGGTATTTTTGATGATAATAATAAATTTAATAAATTTATAAAATTTAATTATCTAATTCTTTAAATTATAGATTTCTTGCGCTAGTTTGTTTACTTCGATCAGATGGTTTTGAAAACCCTGGACTGATAAATTATAATTTTCAATGTTTTAAACAAGCAATGACAGAATTATTTGGATTAAAGAATAATCATCGTTAGAATATAATTTTTGAAAAAATTAGTAGACAAGTGAGCAGGAGTGATGAATGATGGATTGATAACGTTGTTGATAAAAAATATTTTTTATTTTTTATTTAATAATATAATTAAATAAGTTAAATGATGATGGTACAGATTCAAAACTTTACACATAAAAGTTATATTTAATAGTAATGATGATATATATTGACGAATATATCTCTTAATTTATTAATACATCATTCATCCACCTCATATTTATTTATTTTTAAGAATTTTTGTTAATTAAATCTTCTAAATTAACATTAATGTTTAAATCCTTATTATTATAACAATTAAAAAAATCTTTTAAAACATTATCGGCATCATTTGTTTCTGGAAATTGCTCAACTAGTAATTTTCGTAAAGAAACCCAGAACTGTGAATCTTTAATTTTATCAATGCCTGAATTAGAAAGTTGGGTATCTTTTACTGCTAATTCTCGTTGCTTTTGCTGCTGTGAATCAACATTGAGAAAAGAAAGCAGAATGAAAGTGTACTTTTACCTAACAAAAAGCAGAAATCTTTGGAAGAAGGAAAATAAAATGCAATGAATCCTATTAATACATATTGATCTATTTTTTCTTTTTAGTTCTTTTAGCAACATAAACCATAGCAATTATAAAACCTAAGATTAAAGCTACACCTGCAAATAGATTTATCATCACCCTTTTCTTCTTTGTTCTTTGAAATATTGTTATATTCCTTTGGCAAAGTCTTCATCTTTTAAATTACTGACACTAGTTTTCAAATGGTAGATGTTATCACCTTGTACATGTTGATTGCATTTATAATCAGGGAAGACATAAAATTTGTCTGTTGAAAATCTTTTTCTTACTCTTCTGATAATAATATATAATCATCATCAACATTATTATTATTATGCTTGCTATGAGTAGTATCATTGTGCATTAAATTTATTGATTCCAAATTTTTTTGTTCATTAAAATGAAGTTGATCAGGTTTATTTTTGTTTATCTTTAATAATTTTTCTTCTTGAGATTTTCATTTATGTTACTTCTATCATAATGCATTATTGTTGTGCTAGAGTTAGAATTCATGTATTTTTGCCTTTAATTACTGGAGCTTTTATGGTTCTTCAAGATAAATTGGGGGATAATATAATATTTCCCTTTCTTTTTAGTGAATTAAAATGCTTTAATATGTTTAATGTAAATATAAAATAATGAAATATACAAATATATGTACATATATATTTCAATTGATCTTCATCACATCTGCTTTTTGATATGATAGAGAAACATTTTTAATGGATATACCATAAAAGGCCATGTATTATTTAGTTGGTTTCAAGGGCGTGTTCCAAATGAGGCCATTTTTGGATAATTACAAATCACAAAAATCTTATTGGCTATATGTAGAAAAGAGCACAAGTTGTACTGACAAAAATCAAAAACTGTTACAACAACATCTCATCTCTATTCTAAGATTAGTATTTATTATTTATTATTTATTTTTTCTAGCAATTTTATCTATAGAAAATTGTATAAAATGTTCTCATGATTATGATGGGCAATGAATTGTGCATTTTATGCACTCCATTTCTTATATATAACAATAAAAAGCTTAATATTTTATCTTAAAATATAGTTGTATTCGATACATTTTATACTCTATATACCTCAGATGTTTGTGATGATGGTGGCAACTGTGGTGATGATGGCGATTGTGGTGATGGTAATGATATTAATGACGACTCCTATAAATACAAGTAAAAAAATTAAATAAAATGTCATGTTTACTATTAATGTTTCAGTTTATGCTTACATTGTTTTTGCAACGTTTCTTTGGTAATGGTCCAATAACATAGTTTATTGGCCTTCTATTTCGAAAATTGTATTTATGATGAAGGTTGTCTGTTGTTGCAGTTGTTGTTGTTGTTGGAAGAGAGTCTTTGGTAGTTATAGCAGTTGTTGTTGCTGCTGTTGTTATTGGAAGAAAGTTGTCAGTAGTTGCTGCAGTTGTTGTTGCTGCTATAGTTGTTGGAAGAAAGTCATCATTAGTTACAGTTGTTGTTGTTGCAGTTATTGTTATTGGAAGAAAGTTGTCATTAGTTACTGTTGCTGCTATAGTTGTTGGAAGAAAGTCATCATTAGTTACAATTGTTGTTGTTGTTGTTGCTGCTGTTGTTGTTGGAAGAGAGTCTTCAGTAGTTATAGCAGTTGTTATTGGAAGAAAGATCATTGGTGATGGTGAGGTGGGGAGTATACATGAAGTTGAAACTATTTCGACCAGTTGCAGATCTGGTTGAAATAGGGTTGAAATAAGGTCAAAACTGATTTTTACTATGTAGTTGCCTCAAGTTGGAACATTTTGACTTTGGGGTTTTAATTTCGACTTCATGTATAGTTGATTATATAGCCAAATAAAAAATATATTGATTGTTGATTATCATATTACTAATTTTTTTTGTTAAAGAAATTGACAAGACTTTTTAGGAAAAGATTATGTGATTTGGGTAGAATTAATTACTTTTTTTTAGTAAATACATTAATAGAATTGATTACTTTTTTTAAAAAAAAAAGTACCATTATATCATAAGGTAACATTACTTACCATTATCTTTCACTGATCTTGATCTTTCAAATCATCTATTCGTGTATCATCATCCACTATTCCTATTCCAGTACTATTTTGGCTCAGTAATCATAATGATAGGAACTAGGCATACACAGGAGGAAAAAGACATCTTTCTTTTACTGCATAATAAAAGTAAAGTATTATTTAAATATTTAATTAAATATTAACTTTAAAAACCCACCCTTAGCAGCAGCCAATCTTTCTGCAATTTTATCAGCTTCACTCAATGTAGAGTTGGCATTAGTTCCATTAGAAGATTTTTGTGCTTTTTATTCCTTGATGAAATTCTTTGACTAAGTGAAACTTTTTTGACTTTACAATGCTCTTCACATATAAATTGTCGATCCTCTTTTATTAAATGTGTGTAACGACGATCGATCCATAAAAGGATTTTTAACTATGCTTGCACCAGTTAGTATGTTTACTTTTTTGTTTCTATAATAATTCAATTAGTAAAAATAATAAAATGAGAGATTTTATTACGAAAATCTCAGCAGAAACTGAACAAATCTATTATGAATTATGTTATCAAAAAGCTCCTAGGTTTGTAAATGTTTTAAACTATTTATTATATAATAATAATTATTATTATTAAAGTTTATTAATAACTATAAATAGACGCTTGGCTTGGTCACCTTTAAACATAATTGCGTGGTGTCAAACCTTTGAAAATTCATCAGATACTTCTTCACAAGAATTACCTATTATAGGGATATTTAATCCAGCTCGTATATCTTCGTCTAATAATAATAATAGTGATGGCAATAGTAAAATCACTGGACCGGCTTGGTCATTTATTCACCCAAATAATTTTTCTCCACTTACAAATTCCGAGAAAAACCATCGTTGTAGTGAATTTATAACTGATATAGTTTGGAATATGACTGGATCAGCACTTGCGTCAATAGATCAAAGAGGTAAAATTTTTATATGGACTATGGTTAGTTATATAAATCGTTGGACATGTTTTCGCGATTTTGATTTGGGAGAAAATATAATTGAATTTTCATGGCTTGATCATTTAAGACCTGTAAGTTTATTCCAAAATCTTAATTATCAAATCGATGTATGTTTATGGACAAGGCTTAATATAACAATAGTAATAACCAAATAATAATTATTATTTATTATAGTTTTCAAAATCTACACAAAATGGTTCCACTGGTCAAACATTATATAAAAGAAATAAACATTTTGGTTATAACAATAATTTTGGCGAGTATTCTTTCATAACAGTTACTGCAGATGGCAAGGTAATTACGACTTGGAAAAAACAAGATTAATATTTAGAAGGGAACTTTAACAATAATTAATAAATTGGTTTTATAAATATAGGTATTTGTTTATCATCAGCCAGCAAAAAAAAGCTTTTCAACTTTCACAGCTCGATTACCGTATCCTTCTTGTCGTATATCACATGCTAACATAATCCTTAATGATGGTATAAATAAAATTTTTGATATAATTATTTCTTCTTACGTATAGGCACATTTAATTATATAATATATTAATATATGAAAAATTTATAGATAATCATTATATACTGGCAATATATAGTTCAGATATTTTACCAAAAGTTGCATTGATATATGATATTTCAATTGATTTGCTCAAGTCACAAGTTTGTTGTCATTTAATCGGCAATGTACAGCTTACTGCACCCATAGATGAAATATTTAGTCCGCATGCACAACTTATTCATTTAAAGTTGTTACCAAGAACCTCAACTCATCCAATTAGACTTTTAATAATAACAGCTGATAAAACTGGTAAATATATATTAAAAGCTTGTTTTAATTTAAAACGTAAAAAAATCAATAATTGTAACACCTCTGTAATAAATCAAACAGTAGAGAATAATGTAGAGAGTTTTGATAGTGATATTACAATGTGGGAACTTATAACTAATAAAGAATCACAACAAAAATTAGACGGGGGAGATATTGGAAGTGAAAATTTTACTACAGAACAAGGTGATAATAGCACATTATCAACTGATAGATTTACAATGGTACAATCTCAAATAATATATCAATGAATTTTAATTATTTGCATGATAATAACAAATCTTAGTCCAAACTGGATTGATTATAGACGCTAAAATTTGTAATAATTAAACATATACCGAAGCAACTGATTACTGGTATTTGGCAACATGGAAATGAATTAGCTATTGGCTCTAATGATGGAAAAGTTCAGTTTTGTGATTGGTAAATCATTTAAAAATTTTTAATACTTCATATATATATATATATATATATATATATATATATATCAAAATTTACTAGATATTGATACATTAATTTTTTTAATTATTGATAGTAGTAACATGTTAAAAACATTGCCACAATCAGGACCACTTGAGACCACATCCTTTAAAGAAGATTTATTTCCTACATTTAGTAGTTGGGTGCCTTCAAATTATACACAGGAAGGTAAGAAAATGATTCGAAAATAAAAATAAATAAAAATTTGCAATTTTTTGATCTTAAAATATTAATTTATCTTTGATTATATTATGAAGATTCTGCTATTTTAGAATTTTCATCTTCGCCCAATGGGACGATGCTTCTATGTAGAAGATTAACAGGAAAACTGAATTTCCTTGATATGGCACAGATAGGTTTAACCAGATCTCAATTCGATAATAACTTCTTGGGTAAGTACTTTTTTTACACAAATATTCATTATTAAATATTTATTAATAGCTTGCTTTATATTAACTTACTCTAGATTTTCCGATGGTTGTAAAATCTTGTGCAGATGTTTTAACATTATCTATATTAAATGGAATTGACCATGTTGATTTAGAAAATGTAATAAAAAAACATGAAGAAATGTTGGGAATTGATGGTATTTAAAATTAATTCATTATAAAAGATGTTAATATTAATGATAATAATAATGATAATGATGATGATGATGATGATAATATATATATATATATATATATATTAGAGTTTTTAGAGATTATATTGGAAGAAACTTTTACCAACCTTGCAACTGTTTTTCCAAATATAACAGAATATTCTATGGGATCAGATTATCTACTTACACTCTTTGGAATACAATTATCGTTATTGAAATCATGCGGTCGTGATAACACTGTATATTTGAATACATTATATTTTATTCAACTGTCTGCATTGGAAAAAATATTTCTTGATTATAAAGTCTCTGATGGAAAGTTTTCAATAGGTAAAATAATATTTCTACTTTGCTGTTATTATTAAACTATTATTAATTAATAATGAATCTTTATGTATATATTATAAAGAATTATTAAGATCTATGACATATATAACAATTTGGATTTTGGATTTTGCTGTGTTTTTAATAAAAGATATTCATTTATTATTTTTCACAATAAAAAAAGGTCATGATTTAGGTAAAAAAAAATTTTTTTTTATTATATTAGTAATGAAATTTATAATTCAAAAAAAAATAAAAATAGACTAAAAATATACAATTTGTTTCCAAATAAATTAAATTTTCAGGTTCAGAAAAGTCACATATTGTGTTATTTTATAATCCAATAACTAGAAATGCATTAAAGAATCTAATAATATTAGTTGGTCAATTCAAAGAAACTCTTTACAATCTTTCAAAACAAAATTCCAGTGATTCAGCAATTTATGAATTAAACAAATCTTTACAATTTTCATTTGATAAATGGCCACTAGATTTAGCATTTTTAAAATCTTTTATTGACGAATCTTTTGAAATTATTGAAAAGGCGATGAAAGGTACATTTGCAATTACTATTACTATAATTATTACAACTATCATTTTCATTATAATCATTATTATTATTAATTAGTAATTAATATAAATATAAATAAATCGTAGGTGTTCCTGATAAACAAAAAATTGAATATAAGGTGATCATAAGATCGAAGTTATCAATGTTTCCTTCATTACATGGAACTCTAAAAGATATAGAACAAAGTTATAAAACCAACTTTAGTGAAATTAATAAGGTTAAATTATATTATTATGATACGGAATGGATCAAATCTGATTCTGTGGACATTCTTTTGAAGTCTCGTACAATCAAAGAAAAAGCATGTACAAGGTAATTTAATTAAATCAAATCTATTATAAATTATAGATCGTTAATATTGATTTTTTATTTTTTATAATTAGATGTGGAAATTTTTCAGCAACAACAAGTTTGAATAATATGATCTGGACAAAAGGTTATTCAAGATCATGTATTTGTGGTGGCTATTGGATAGAAATTAAAGACAAACAATCTTAGAAAAAATTTGTTTTACAAGAATCTTTATAATTAATTAATTATTACTACTTTATATATAATATGTAATCACTTAAAATGAAATTACTCCGTCAGACACAGCTTTGTTAAATAAATGATATAGGAGATATTCATTATGAAAATCTTCTTCTATATATTAATTTAAAAAAATTATAAACGTTGTATATTTTTCATTAATTTCTATGTCTACTACCTATAAACGCAATGTATTACTATAACTATCGAGAAAGCCATAACCCTTTAATTAGCGAATGAAAACGGCCCGACATTTCCTTGGTTGAAAAAAATATCGAAATAATTTCCAAACTTGGTTAGTATACTCCGCTCTTTATCAGTCGTTCATTAAAATCTCGGACGTTGTTTGGAATAAAAAACCTATCATTGACAGCGAGCGACGTTCTTGCTTATAGGTATGATTTTCGTCTTCTGCTACCTTTTCCACCTGCCTTTTTGCGATATTCAGTTTTTATCATAGACAGAAGTTGAATGAACTGTTACACGGTCGTAAAAAAAATAAATAATAATAAAAATAATTGGTTTCATCGTATTGTATTCATTATTTTTTTGGAAAAGAAAAAACGATCAATTCTCATTTTTATATTTATTAGTACGTGAATTTGTGTATGTGTGCACTCTTATCTTATTATTATCTTCTCTCTAGTTACGAAGATAAAGTAGAATGATAAAATACCAATTTGTTATTTATTATTGTTATTAAAAAGAATTTTTTTTTTATCTGAAAAATTACCAAATTGAGTTAATTTTACATTATAAATTAAATTAAGAAAGAAAGAATGCATTATTTATTATCATAATTCATTGTTGGTTGCCGTTAATTAACTATTAATTAAAAAGTTTTATTACGTCTTTTAAAAATGAACAACAAATGCCAATTGTTTACTGTTACCTAATTTTCATATAATAGTAATAACAAACTATTTTCTAAACATTTAAAAAGCTAGTACTAAAACGGTATACCATATATACCTTTTTATATTTTTTACCAATTAATCCTCCTCGCATGATTTTTAATACTAATACAGGTACATAACACCATAACCATTACCGCACCCGTCATCACGTAATCATCATAACCGTTTGTTATTCATCAAACAAAATTAAATTTTGAAACAAATTATTTTTATTAAATACAATAATTACACGAATGCTATAATAATAAGACAAATGTTAAAGGAAAAATATTAATATTTACCAATTTCCTTTTATTGACTGTGTGCATCAAATAAATCAAAAACATAAATCCGAATTTCGTTTTTTTTCTTTTGTTTTTTTTTATATCTTTTCCTTTCTAAAAAAACCACCACCGCCACTACTACCTAAATTTCCCACTAAACACTTTAATCCTCACTTTCATTTATCTACCAACTATTATTACTGCCATTGCATAAAGACTACTTTTACGAGCTTTGTATAGCAAAAAATTTATATCATCACTAATATCATTTATATAATACACGCACACTAGTTTTCTTCTTCTTGCCGCTGGTTTTTTTTGAACTGTGTTCAAACGGCGATTATTTACGCAACTATTAATTATTTCTTCATCAAAAGAAAATTTTAAAGAATCCGCATCTTCGGATAATTGTAATAACAATACAACAACAGCAGCAGCAGCAGCAGCAACAACAACAACGAGAAGAAGAGCGTAGAAGATATTTAATTTGTAGAGCACAATTAAATATAATGTTTTTTAAATAGTTTAATTTGAAATTTATTTGTCTATTTGCTATTATCATTATCAATATCAATAATAATTTATTCACAAAGAAAAAAACATTTAGGAATGAAAAGTTTCCAACTCAAGAACTTGCATTTGATATGTTTTATGCATATATTTTTATTAATCGTTGCAAGCAAATCTACTTCGTCAACAAAAACACCCAGTGACAAAGATGATATAACATATAATTTGAGCATTTGGGAACCCCAATCAACGCCAACGCCAACGCCAACACCAACACCAACACCAACACCAACACCAACAAAACCAAAACCAAAACCAAAAGAAAAAAGCCCTAAACCTACAATAACGCCTCCAGCTGATGATATAATTACTACAACAAAGCCGCAGAAGGATTCAACATCAACGCCAACACCAACATCAACATCAACATCAACAACATCAACATCGCCATCACCAACAACACCACCTTCAGCAAATATCGACAATAATCCAGCCACTTCATCTGATATGATCGATAGCGATAACAATAAAAGAAATGGCTCAAATATTGGTCTAATAATAGGAATAACTATTGCAATAATTATAATTGGCATTTGTGCATTTGCTGGATTTTTGTGGCGTCGTAGAAGATTAAGACGTTTCTCAAGAGTTACAGTAAGCTTTTCGAAAATAAATTAAATAATAAATTATTATTATTATTATTATTATTTATATTAAAAAACAACATTTATTTTCTTCTTGTAGCCTATGGAAAGTTGGAAAATACTTAATGATCCGTCCACAGATTTTAGAAGATCATCAAGGATGCCAATGACGACAAATTATTCGCCTTCACAGCCATCAAAAACTTTTCGATCAAATCAAGAATTTCCAAGAGCGAAAAGATTAGTATATGATAGAGAAACTACATTACCGAAAATTCGACGATCTAATGATACATGGGAACAATATTTAAGTATGGTTATTCAGAGGCCGGAGCAACTTGCTAATAATGATAATTATAATAGTAATTATAACAGTGGTCATAGTAGTGATTATAACACTGGTTATAGTATTAATAATGGTTATATATATAAGTAAAGGGCAAAGTGAAAATAATCTCATTATCATTTATTCATTCATATTCATTCTGTACAATCTAATTAATATATATTAATGATTTCATTTTTACAACGAATATAATAATTTTTCAGTGTTTTATGCAACCTTTTTTGTAAAATGAACTAATTGGATGGCTTCATCTTACATTGTTAAGAACGCGTACAATTTAGGTACATACACCATTTAGAACAGCATGGTGACTGTGATTTTTTTGTCTATGCCAATTACAGTCTTTTCTTCCCTTCATAACTAGATCAACACTATCGCGAATATATTTTGATGATATGTCTTTTACAAAATAAAGGTTCATGATTTCATATAAGATGATTTTGCCCGTGTAATTAATTGATCTCCAAATATACGCGACTTTGACATTTATGAAAAGATGGTATTAACATTATCTGTATTTTATTCATTATGGTTTTTTTATTTGCTAATTCAATGACTCTTCAAGTGCACTTGTCTTTGAATCCAATCTCAACTTTTGATTACCTCCTATTTTTCATTCCCATTAAAGCTTTACCTTTAGGTAATTTTCTTTTATCCTATTAGAAATTCTGCACCATTTCGGTTCTCCAACCGTGTATAAGTGCTGCCAGATTGCTTGAACAAATTGCCGAATCTTTTGCTCTGAAATTTCTGCCGGAAAGCGATTTACAGCTTCATTATAGTTTTACACATTATTATTATAATATTTGTTATCTTCATCTTTTAAGTGTATTATTTGTTTGGAAGAGACTATTTTACAGCATTTGGAGGTGGTGGATTGCCAACAAAGTGAATTTAACGGAGCTAAATCTAATATCACAAGTTGAACATGCTTCAAGATGAAATATATCATGTCAACTAATAAATCTTAAACCCTATAATCGTAAATAATTATTATTTAGACATAGAAATTAAGAATATTTCTTTTCCTCCTAGATAAAATCATGTTGCACAGTGCTTTCCGACAAATTCAACAAATTTTATTAACATTAAACATTCAAAAAAACATTGTATTATGAATTACAAATCCCTCAATTTGTCTATTATTATTATCGTTTTTGCCTAATTGCCAAATATACTTATCTAAACCCTTCAAACTAATTTCCTGTCTACCTAATGATCTAGCATGTCTTAAAATGATCTCACATGAATCAATAGCTGCTGCACGTAAACAATATATTTCTTGTATGTTAGGATTCTCTTTATTATTTTCTTCAAAAAATTTTTTGAAATGAGATGGTAAATTCATTATATTAGCATGATAAAGTATTGCTGGAACCACATTATTGCCATCAATTGTAAGTTCATTGATATCTTCAAAATCAAAAACAGATGTTTTGTTATTATTTTGAAATCGATGGTAGAGACTTGAAGCAAGGAATTGTGCTTTTTTGAAAACATATACAGCTAAAAAAATTTTTATACAATGAATATTAAAATTTAATTGAATTTTGAAATAATAAATAAAATGAAATCTTACGTTGATCATTGATCATTGCCATGTCTCTAAACGTAGGAAAAGCTTTGACCAGCTAAAACATAATTACACTTTTTTTTTAAAAAAAAAAAGAAATATAGTATAAACACATAAAAAAGAATCATATCTGTTTACCTTTTCTACCATTTTAGCAGCTTTGGGTTTTTCTCCACCTCTTTCTGGTTTAGATGCATCGATTAAAAACATAGCAAAATCTTTATATCCACTGTCTTCTAGTATTTTCCCTGTATCATTCAGAACCCAAGTAATGATTTCTGCAAAAACTCGAGATTTTGATGGTTGTGATATTGTAATAGCTTGAATTGTTTTATGTGGCACATCAATTTGTAAAGGTATTTGGAACAATGAAGATACTTCTGAAAGTTTTATGGATCGTAATGCATGCGAACTCAAAGATTGTGATGTTATATGAAGGGACATGATTCCATATCTTATAGTGTCAAAAGCACCCTTAAATATCACAGACGTATATGTATTATTACACATCAGAGATGTCATTAATAATAATAATAATAATAATTACTATTATTATCATAATCAATATCATACATACACGTCCACATTCTTCGTGTAATTCTTGACGATATCCACTTCCAAAATTTAATAATCCAAACAAACCAATTATATTCAATTCTTGTTCTAGAGTATCAAATCTTAAAGGCATCTACAATGTTGAAATTAAAAAGGGCCTATCTTAATTGTTTAATAGAAGTTATATATAAATAAATAAAATATTTATGTATTTTTACATTTAATAAACCATTGTTTTCGGATAATTTATTATAGTGGTTTGAATCTATCTTCTGAATAAAGTTTATAACCGCTTCTTCATTTACCTATATGTGTATGTATGTATATATATGTGTGTGTTTGAATATTCCTTTTTTTAAAAAATTGTAAATAAATAATTAAATGTGTGTATATATACTTTTATGTCATTTTTTTTTGTAAGATCATGACATGAGGTTCGTACGGCTTGAATATAATTGCCTTGTGGGAAGGGAACCTTATTGTCTATAAATAATAATTGATTAATATTTGACATTTTTTTTCGTAAATAAAGAATAGCCAACACGGAATTATTAAAAAGGAAAAGGATCGTCGGTAAACTCTAATTTTGTCATAATAAAATAATTTGATTATAATTTGGTTAAATAATGCAACAACAGCAACAACAACAGCAGGAGCGCTCACCAACAGAATTTTTAAATAATGTTATTGGAAGACCAGTTATTGTTAAATTGAATTCAGGTGTTGACTATAAAGGTAATTATTTTATAAATTATAAATTATTAACTTTATTTAATCAATAATTATCTTATGAATAGGTATACTTTCATGTCTTGATGGTTATATGAATATTGCACTTGAACAAACTGAAGAATGGGTAAATGGTCAATTCAAAAATAAATATGGAGACGCTTTTATTCGTGGTAATAATGGTAAATATTGTGTGAAAATATAATTAATTTAATTAGATTTTTAGAAATTAAACAAACTATTATTAATTTCATCTTTATTGTTTATATTAATAAATCTTTATAGTATTATATATTAGCGCAGATAAAAACAGATGATAATTACTTATTAAATTTTATTATAATGTTGTAAAAATCTAATGAAACCATAAAATGATAAATAAAAATATTTAATAGATGGTGAAATATATCACTGGTGAAATAAAATCAGTAAAAAAATCGGGTACCTGATCCCATCAAAAGAATAATCAATCATATTTCTGATTTTATAGCGAGGAAATTTATTTTGTTAAATAGTTTTCTTTATAAGTAATGATAAATATTTTACACAATCTGATTATCGATACAATTGCTGATTCCTTCCCTCATCTTTCATTAGTTGGTTTTGTTCGTTAAATCAAAAGTTTCAACTGAAATTTGAATTATCATCAATCACTGGACAAACCCAATTCCATAGGACGAGGAAAAAACTCCCAAAAAAATTAAATGGATGGATGGACATATGAACAGAAGAAGAATTAATAATTGATTTATTGTTATATTAAATAATTGTTACGGCGTCTGTTATATTATGTGAATATTCAACTATAATCTCTATAATAATAATAAACAGTAAGAACATTTTATTCTCTCTAAACTATTAAAGGAAATAAAAAATATTCTATCGTTTTTAATTAAAAAATCATTAATATTTGATTTATAAAAAATCATGTTATGTCGGCATATATATAAATAGACTTTGTCCAATAAAATTCTAATTTAAAAAACCCTATTCAATCATTCATTGTTGTTTATTTTAATTTCCTCCTCACACCACTTTTTATCGTTTATTATATATATAAATATAAAAAAAAAAATTTATTTTTCATTCTTTAAAATATATTTTTTTTTTTTATAAAAATATACTAATCAAATTATCAATAAATTTGAAAAAAATGAATTATTTAAGTCACATGCCAATATTCTTCTTAATCACTTTATACCTTTTATTATTTTCACCATTCAATTCTGCAACACAAACTCCTTTGAAAGAGAATACAAATTTAATGGAAAATTCTCTTGATGAATCAATTGAAAATTATTGTGCTGTAAATAATCTATATATTTTCTATTTACTTATTGTTTGCTTATTCTTTAAACTTTTGATATATATGCTTAACTAAATTTTGAATGATAACAATAGCCTTCCGGATTAATTAGCGACGCTTGTTGTGATTATAAAACTGTCGAAAATATAAATAATGATTTATTTCCTAGATTACAAGAATTAATCAAAACAGATTTTTTTAAATATTATAAGGTTTTTTATTTTTAAATCATTCTGGTTTTAAATGATGATTTGATTTAATTTAATTATTTTCTATTTGTAGTTGAATCTTTATAAGGAATGTCCGTTTTGGCACGAAAATGGCCAATGCATAAATCAAGCTTGTGCTGTTGAAACTACCGATGAAGTAAGTTGATTAAAAAATAGATATATCAATTATACATATTTATGAATTAATCAATATTTTATTTGATTTAGTCAAATGTTCCCGAAATGTGGCGCAGCAATGTACTGGGTGCATTGCAGACATCATCTAATGGCTTGGTAAAGTTATCGATAAAAAATATATTAATGTGAATCTTTTACACTATTTTATAATAATTATTAATGTTAATCGTACATGAAAATAAGTAGCTTTTTCAACCCTTTAAAGATTGTGAATTTAAACTACAAGATTTCTGTGTTGTTGAAGACGAAGCAGATTCCGGCAAGTTAATTTAATCAAAGATTTTTTTTTTTTTTTTGAAATATTTTGATTAAAATTAACACATTATATATGTGTGTGATTAGAGGGAGTTTTTGTTAATCTTCTTGAAAATCCTGAACGTTTTACTGGATATGCTGGAGCATCAGCAAGTCGTGTATGGAAATCAATATATGAAGAAAACTGTTTTAACGTAGCCTTTCATTTGGATCCTTCATATAACATTAAAGACTTGTCATCTGCTCCAACAAATAAAAAACCATTAGGTCTTTTATTACAAAGTAAAAATGACATCTATGATGAAATATGTGTTGAGAAAAGAGTCTATTATCGTTTGATTTCTGGTTGGTTAAACTTTCTAGTTTTTTTTCTGTTGTTTTATTTAAAATAAAATAATAGGATCAATTCATATATATTTATATACTGAATATATAATATTCCAGGACTTCATTCTTCGATATCCATTCATATATGTAGTGAATATTTGAATAAAACTACTGGATTATGGGTAACGTCGATATAAGATTTTTTATTTTACTATGTAGATTCAAAAATTAGAACTATTAGTTTTTAATGATTGATTTTACATTAGGGTCCAAATCTTGATTGCTTTGTTGATCGCATTGGTTCATATCCAGAACGTCTTCAAAATGCTTATTTTAATTATGTAGTTCTTCTAAGAGCCATATCAAAAATTTCAAATTATCTTAAAGGATATGAATTTTGTACTGGTGATGAATTGCAAGATGAAAAAGTCAAGTCTATGGTCAATGAAATAGTTGATCGGGCTCAATCTTGTCCCGAAACTTTTGATGAAAATCAATTGTTTGCTTCTCCTGAATCTAGTGTAAGCTTTATATTTATATTTATTTACTTTGATAAGTAAACAAATCTTAATACTTTTGTGTATATTGTTTCCTTATCTATCAGATATTGAAGGAGGAATTCAAATCCAGGTTTAGAAACGTTTCTCGAATAATGGATTGTGTTGGTTGTGATAAATGTCGATTATGGGGAAAAGTACAAATATCTGGAATTGGTACAGCTTTAAAAATACTTTTTTCATATGAAGATGACTTTCTAAAGTAAGTAACATGTAAACATATAAATGTGTATTGATATGACCCATAATTAAATACTTTTATATTATCATGTTAAATATTTTGTTTGTATTTATAGTCCAAAGATAGATCCAAATTTATTAAGGCGTACAGAGATTGTTGCACTATTTAACACATTTAGTAGATTTTCGGAGAGTTTAAAAATCATAGAGAAATTTAGAAAAATGTATCAACAACATAAACTAAATGACATTAATGAAACCAACCAAATCAATCAAATTAGTCAACAAGAAAAAGTAAAGAAAATTGAATTTGAAAAATCAATCAACCAAGAGGTAAATCTCTAAAAACAAGATACTTGCATTAAAAAATTTATATATTATAATTACGATTGCCAATTAATAATTTAAAACTAATGAACATTTTTTATTTTATTTATTAGATTTTAGATGAATCTAATATTAATTCCTCTAAAGTTATTAACGAAATCAACCCATCATCATCATTTCCAAATATGCAATTTGTCATAGAACTTTGGGATTTCCTTAAATCAAAGGTTTCACCATACATAATACAATTTCGTCATCTCATAACACAAAGATTAGAATATTGGTACCTGTAATTATAAAGACTATAACAATATTATATTCCTTATTATTATTTTATTTGAATGAAAAAACAATCTTCATGATTTATCATATTGATTTTGATTTTTATTCAATTTATTAATTTATTTCTGCAGTCTTAATTTAATAATATCGGCAATAATAAGTTTTTTAGTAATTTGTATAAAAAAACAATAAATGTAATATATAGATTTTAATTTAATAATAATTGGTTTATTTTTTTTTTATCCATTTAATGGCGAGTGATAGGAAAAAAGTTAATTACGCCCGACACCATTTATGTAATTTGTGCCTATTAACCAATCACCTTTTAATAAAGTTATATACAGAAAAATTGAATTATTATTATTATTATTGTAAAATAAATTATTGTTTCCATATTTATTTTCTAATTTCTATTTTATGCAACATATGCGCATTTATCTTTGGTTCTTGGTGTTCTTTGAAGATATTATTTTTCTCGGCCTTTTTTTTTATGCGGTAAATTGTTTGAACAACAACCTCATTAACCCAATTGTACGTGTTGATTATATTTGTTTTTTTAGGTTAAAGCTTTCTATCTTCGTCATCATTTCTTGTGATGTTTCAGTTTGTGTTAACCGCTGGCTACGATAAATCTATCCCTATTTAGATATGATAGGAAATTCATGAATGAATTTGGAATATATTACTAACAACTAATTTTGCTTTCTATCTATAGAACATAACCATTGTTGACTACTAATTTTTTTTTGTTTTCTTTTTAACCGCAAACTTTTTTTCTGCCGATTATCTTTCATTTCGTTCTTCGAAATAAAAAGACTTGCCCAACTGACCCGAGTTTCACTATTTTCAACGCCAGTTGGCTTGTTTCATTGTTATTGCCTTTAGTGCTAGTCTAATTTTACTCGAAGAAATTTGCTTTTACTCTGGTGTTTCTGTTGTGGTTGAATCTCTAATACCACCACTATCAGTTTTTTTCGCCTCATGTTGTAAATATGTTTTCATTACGACTTGTAAGACTTTTATGAAGTTGTTTAGGACCAGGACTTGTGGAACTAGTTGAACTATATGAGTTTTGACTCTTATATGTATCCTACTACGATCATTGTTAGCTGGATTTTGACGCTTATTTGGGTCCCTGTTGTGATTACTGTTAGCTGAATTTTGGCTTGGTATTGAAGAGGATGGATGGTACGGAAATTATATATTTGAACATGCCATTCAAAGCACCTACTTTCGATCTGTACTAATGATGTATAACGAAACTTTTGACTTTAGTCATTGACGTAACTAAAGTATTGACTAAAAAGATAGTTTCTCACCAAGATTCGAATCGATGATTAGATTATGCATCAAATTTTTTTTTTTATAAATTAGAAAATTAAAATGAAGAAGAAAACTATCTTTTAATTATTTTATCCAATTCATTAGCTTGAGGTTGTACCTTTTTGTGTAATACCCTCATCATCAATAAATAATCTATTAATATAAGCAATAAAAAAGTTTGAATTCTTACTTTCTTTTTCTTTGATATCGAAAAAACAAATATGGATGTCACAGAAGGTTCGCCTTATAAGCCCATTTTTCCTTTTGAAATTTATTCTGAAACTGGAACGGTCATAAGTTCTAGCTAGCAGTTTAAATCAAAACAAGCCATACAACTGCAATATTGCCACCAAATCCTGCAGCAATTGAAGCCATACATCCTTCATCGCTTATTTCAAGATATGTGAAACTGACCTAGTTGGTACACTTCAGAAATCTTATACATACGATCGAAAAGGTGGAAATACAACAAATCCTATTAACCATTTTACGTGATAAATGAAAATTAATCGGTAATCATGATGGAGTATATATGATTGTCATGTTTTTCTTGATTACTTTCTGCTATGGATACCATTCTTCTTTATCCGTAAAACAGACCGCCATATAAATAACTTGTTTTCTGATGTAAACAAAAATAAAACCGATTATTCGGTTTTGCGGTTTTATTTAAATGCGGTTTTGCGCCTTTGCGATTTTATTTAAATACGATTTTTGAGGGTTCACTTAAATTTGGTTTAAAAACCGGGAGAAATATATTGCATTGATTTGTAATCCTGCGAGTTTGTGGAAGTAACTGTTTAACAATATTTTTTATTCCCATTTAATTAATTAATAAGCATTAGATTCTAATAATAATAATTAATAATAAAGGAAAAGGTATTGAAAGAATTGATGATAAAGTTGATGGATAATTGATTGATTGATTTAATTTATTTCTTAAAACTAAATTGTATATAATAATAATGTTTTGAAATAATAAAAACTTTTTTCAGTTTTTAATTATAAATTTTGGTTATTCCTAACATCTTCATTTACATGTAAAACATACCTGAGAACTTTCTTTAGAGTGTTAATATATTAATTAATACCGGTATATCACTAACTCTAATCCACCGTCAGCAAAATTATTCCTGCAATTCTACTTGCAGGTGGCGCAATGAAATTCACCACTCCTTGAGGTCCTAAACCATTCACTGGTGATCTCCTCCAAGTTTAAAATTAACTTGCTTCTTGAAAATAACCTTGGTTTGAAAAAAAAGATAGTTCAATAATACATATTCCCCTTTTTCAAATGCCCGTAATGTATATACTACTGCTAATACTAGATTACAAATTAACTTTCTTCTTGAAAATCATTTTAACTTGAAGAAAAAGTAGTTCAATAATATACATATCTCTTTCACAAACTCTCGAAATGGTATACTGCTGCTACTAAACACGTAATTTGTTGAATTATTAAAAAAGCGACTTTAAATTATGAATAGCATGATTTATTAGTCAACGAATAAATTTTTAGCTTTTAAACCTTCTATGAAATTGATAGTTTCCACTATTCAGGATTTATTACATCGTAAAAGTCTGTGTGTTGATTACATTTTTTAATAGTGATGTTGGCCGGCTAAGAAATTTATCGGCTTAGCCGACCAAGGAATTTTTAAACGGCCTAGCCAGCTAAAAAAAATATTCATTTTTACGTGTGGAATTTTAGTGCAGAATTCAGTGCCATGGACATTTAGTTGAGATGGGTCTACCTACATTACTTAGAATGACAAAAAACATACATTTGCTAAAAAACAAAGTACAATACATCATATCAGGATAAAAGTCATAGAGTTTCTATTCGTATTACAAATTCTTATTTTAATTCGAATTATTATTATTCGAAATATTTGTTCCATTCGAAATATTTGTTCCATTCGAAATATTTGTTCCATTCGAATTATTCTTTCTATTCGTATTATTTGTTTATTTGAATAAAACTTTCAATGTAATTCGAATACTCAAATTCATAACAAATAAAACAAATAATTTGAATTATTAAAGGCGAGATATTATAATAACAATAGTAAATAATAGTAATAATAATAACGACGATAGTAGTAATAATAATAATAATACCGGTACCATCTGAAAAAGTTTTTCATCAAGTGGGATTTATTAAGTTCTTAGCCGGCTAAGGTTTTTCTATCGGCTAACTTCTCTATTTTTTAATAGCATTTATTAATACTAGTAGTTGCACCAAGAGCAGCTTGAATTCATTTATTTAGAATCAAGTTGATTGATAGATTTGCTAATACCTATAAAGGTTTACCAACTTTGGGTTTTTCAATTAACCATCTTGGCTCCAAGTTAGAATAATAAAGATAGATGCATATATAATATATGGATAGTAATGATAAGGTGATTTAAGATTTAATATGCAATTTTTGCATTTCGTGACATAATTTTGTGTTTTTGCAATTTGATCGTAAATGAAAATGCATCATGGCTGATAAACAATCTTGAAAGAATACCCGGTGTTTTTAGAAATGACTCGGAAATAATGTGACAGTTAGGTTGTTGGTGGTGTTAATATAAAACAATTATTATTATGAAGTAAAACAACAAAAATATCTGGATAAATTTATCTCTCTTGAGAATGAATTGATACTATATAGAATTTTTATAATGTTGTGAAGTCATTATTATTATTTAACTTAGCCCAAAAAAGGTAATATAAAAATTTAGCTGCCCTTACTTCTTAAAAATTGATCACCAGATAAAAAAATCAAAAAAAAAAAAATCAAAAATCAAAAAACAGAGAAAAAAGAAATGGCTTTTATTACTAATAAATTTTCAAGACAAATTGTTTTTCGTTTTAATAAACATTCAATTTTTTTTACTGGAAATAGTAATAGTATTAGTAATAGTAATGGTGTCAAAGCTTTTATGATAAAAAATAAATTTGAAAATGTCAAACAAAGTTCGTTCTATAAAAATTTAAATGTATTTTTTTTTATTTTTATTTTATTCAATGTGTATATTATACATACATACATACATTTCTATTTTTTTTTATTTCTTTATTTTTTATTAAACACACACACGCATATATATATGCTTATATTTATATAAAATTAGGGAATTATCGAATAGCTCCTGGTCAACATTCAACACAAAAAGGCTCTGCACTTGAAGAGTTTGGTTATGATTTGACAAAATTAGCAATTGAAGGTAAATTAGATCCTGTAATTGGACGTGAAGAAGAAATAAGGCGAACTATTCAAGGCTAGTGAGTGATATTTATTTAATCTACTTCATTATAGTTCTCAAATGATAATAATATATACTTATCAACAAATTTGATGATTATTTTCTTTATTATTATTATTATTAGTGTAAGTTATGATTTGATTTTTTATGCAGTATATTTGTTAAAACAATTATTGTTATATATTTACATATTTGTGTAATTAATTATATAGATTATCACGTAGAACAAAAAACAATCCTGTTCTAATTGGTGAGGCGGGTGTAGGAAAAACAGCAATCGTTGAAGGCTTAGCACAAAGAATCATTAATGGAGAAGTGCCCGAGAGTATAAAAAACAAAAAAGTCATTGCACTAGATCTTGGATCTATCATAGCAGGATCAAAATTCAGAGGCGAATTTGAGGACAGATTAAAAACCATATTAACAGAAGTACAGGAAGCAGAAGGAAAATTGATATTGTTCATCGATGAATTGCACAACCTACTTGGTTTAGGAAAAGCTGAAGGTTCAATTGATGCAGGTAATTTGCTTAAACCTGCTTTGGCAAGAGGTACATTAAAATGTTGTGGTGCCACTACAATCGATGAGTATAGAAAACATATTGAAAAAGATCCAGCATTGGCCAGGCGATTTCAGTCTGTTATGGTTTCAGAACCAACAGTAGAAGATACTGTATCAATATTAAGAGGTTTAAAAGAAAAATACGAAGTTCATCATGGTGTAAGAATATCAGATTCTTCTCTTATTGCTGCAGCAACTTATTCACATCGATATATAACTGATAGATTTTTACCTGACAAGGCTATTGATCTAGTTGATGAAGCATGTTCAAAACTCAGATTACAACAAGAAAGTAAACCTGAAGCAATAGAAGATCTTGATAGACAAATTATTACTTTAAGAATAGAAATGGAATCTTTAAGAAAAGAAACTGATCCTGTTTCAAATGAGCGTAGACAAAAAATACAAAAGGAGCTTGATGAAAAACAAGCTGAGTCCAATAAATTGAATGACATCTGGCAGGAAGAAAGAGTTAAATTGCAAGAAATCAAATCCATTAAATTGAAATTAGAGCAAGCAAGAATCGAATTGGAATCTGCTCAAAGACAAGGCAATTTTACTAAAGCAAGTGAGTTGAGATATGGTGTTATTCCAGAATTGGAAAAACAATTGCCAATAGATGGTGAAGATCAAGAGACTGGTTCTTTGATACATGAAAGAGTGACAGCTGATGATATTGGATCAGTTATATCCAGAATGACTGGTATACCAATACATAATCTACTTAGAAGCGAAAGGGATCGATTGTTACATATGGAGAAAACTTTATCTCAACGAGTTGTTGGGCAAGATGAAGCTATCAAATCAGTTTCAGAAGCTGTTAGGTTAAGTAGAGCAGGTCTACAAAGTTCCACAAGACCAATTGCATCATTTTTGTTTCTTGGACCAACAGGTGTTGGTAAGACTGAATTGTGTAAGGCCATAGCAGAATTTTTATTTGATACAGAGTCATCTATCATACGTGTAGACATGAGTGAATATATGGAAAAGTATGTCTCTGCTACATGTGGTTTAATTGAGAAATTGATATTATTTCTTTAGAAAAGAATTTTTTTGATTGATAATGAAAAATTTTCACTTATAGATTTGCAGTATCAAGATTAGTTGGTGCGCCACCAGGTTATATTGGTTATGAAGAGGGTGGTGAACTTACTGAAGCTGTTCGTAGGAAACCATTTTCTGTTATTCTCTTGGATGAAATGGAAAAGGCCCATAGAGGTAAAATATTTTATTTATTTATTTATTTATTTATTGCACTTGTATCACTAATGATAAATTATATATATATATTTTTTTTCAAGATGTTGCAAATTTATTATTACAAGTTCTTGATGATGGATATATTACTGATTCACAAGGTCGTAAGGCAAGTAAACAAGGGCAGATATAATTAAAGAATTTTAATATGCATATATTTTCAATTGCTTACTTACATGTTATATAATTAATTAATGAGTAGATTGATTTTAGAAATACAATTATTATTATGACAAGTAATCTTGGTGCAGATGTATTAGCATCATCTGATTTGTCTGGAGATGGTAAAGTTGGCAATTTGA